CTTGTAACTTGCTTTCCCAATCTCCATATTAATCACCTTCCACAAACACAGAGACTGAAGACTGAGACCCTTTTATAGGGCTGCACGGCCTCAGAAGGGAGCGAGCTCCAAGGCCTTTTCCTTTAACACAACATCTCTAACTTAATACGATGAACAAAGGAGTCGCTGAACAAAGCAAAGAGACACAGAGACACTAATACGGGCCTTTTTAAAGCCTCCCCAAGTTTTTTGACTACAGAGCCATTTGACAAAGGTTCTCCTGACCATATAGATAGAACCACGAAGGTTCCATAGACTGGAACCAGTTACAGAATGTTTTTGCGTGTTCTAGAGTCTCTCCAAGTCTTTCCATTCCATATCATCAAGATTCTCTGAGATGCATGTTCCACAACCTGTATTCGTCACACAAGTAAATATACTACACATGTACCATGCTCCTTCTCACCATAAATAAAGCATGCCATAAAGTTCTTTATTGTAATTGGACATTCCTATACTTTCTAAATTTCAAGTTTATTTTTACTTGGTTTTCCATTAGTACTAAAGTTCTTCTAAAAAGCTCTGCGTCTCTCTGTAGCACACTGAGAAAGAGAGAGCAGAATAGGGGCATCCATACTGAGCCTAGGCCAGGACTGGTGGCTGCAGTTGAGGGATAGTGAATGGGCTGCCAAACCAATAGCTTTTGAGTTCCAGCTAATATAGAAAAGGAATTTATCAGACTAAATTGGGCTGTTCTGCTTCCTGCCCAGGATCATTTCTTTTGCATACCCAAGAATGGATTGGCTGACACTGTGGGCACTCATTAAATAATACTTGCATAGACTGACTGACTAATTGGCTCAAACTCAGAGAAAAAAAACCCTTGGCCATCTCTAGACCAGAAGAGATCGCCTCTAATATCTACCATGCAGTACTTAAGAGATGTGGAAATGAGGGAAATGTGCCTGGCAGTGAAGGGGTGCCAAATGGCATTTGTGCCAGGGCATATGCTTTGAAAACCAGCCCCTATATGGTTCCAGTTACTTTTGCCACATAGGAAAGTAGGCAAAGTTACTTAAATAGCAGGCTTCTGAACTGTTGGCTTGCCTACCTTACTTAAGTAAAAATTATTCCCTTGAACTGGAAAATAACTTTCCTTAAAGTTGTATGAGAGGGAGCATATTTTTATATAGAAAAGGTACTGGATTTTAAGTTAAAGAACACTGGTTCCACTCTACTAATTTCAGCTCTACTATTAAATGTTTGTATGCCCTTGTGCAAGTCATTTAATTTTGATCAATTTTGAGCATTATTCAGTTGCCTTGTTTTAAGAAAGAACAGTTGGACCAGATACCCTCCCTGCGAGATCTCTTAACAAGCCTTATTTTATTTTTATTTTTTTATTTTTGTTTTATTTAAGACCCCTTTAACAATTTGGTGAAGCCTATGGACCTCTTCTCAGAATAATATTTTTAAATGCATGAAATGAACTATACTGAAAAACAATGATCAAAATATTTAAAAAGAACCAAATTCATGGACCCCAGATTTAGAACCCCTGTCTCATAGCATTTGATCCTATATTAAATCTAGACCTTTGATGAAGTGACAAAATTGTATAGCTATGTTTATACTCATCTTTTACAAAACTGAACTAGTTTAAATGCAATTTGCTGAAATACTGAACATTTGGGAAGAGGCCAAGTACAGTACAAGTTGTTTTAACCTATTCATCACAGTAAATCAGTGTCTCTGTGTATTTGTATGTGTGTGTGTGTGTACATGTGAAATGGTATTCAGAAAAATATGAAGAATTGTCTACACTTGAAAACTTGCCATTCTGCATCGTGGGCAAGAGAGGACATATAGTGACACCTCATTCATCCAGCTATTAGGTACCATAGAATGAAGTGTTCTATACAAGTGAATTTTCCATATAGCAGAAGTTTACCATTTCGAGTGCCAAAAATTTTAAAACCATATTGCAGTGAAACCTTTCTCAAATGTTTTTCACAGTTCTTTGCCTCCTTAAACAGAATATACTTAACATAAATGAAAACTCTTCTTGATGACCAAGGGTCATTGTGAACAGCAGCTATTCTACCATGCAGATATAGCAGTGTCTCAAGGAATTATCGAGATATGTAGGACTGTGTATTCCTCTAGTGAACAGCTCCAGACACAATGAAAAAAGAAACAACAAAAAGAAACAACTCTTGTGTCTATTTGTTTATAGTTATGGAACATTAAAAGTTAGAGGGTACTTGGTTTTTCTTTCCTCCTATTTTCTCAGGGAGTCAACTATCTCCTCCTGGTCCTCTCACTTTGGTTACCTGTAGCATGCCCACTTCTTACTTGCTCCTTCTTGTTGGTTATTGTCTGAGAAACCAGAAAAGCTTATTAAAATTTTAAATAAAATAACATAAATAGGCTCTGAATGAAGATATAACTCTCTCCTACGAATTTTATAAAATCATAACCCTGCAAGATACTTTTGAAATCAGCTAGTTTAACCTTCATGCAAATGATAAAGACTTTGGTTGACATTTCTAAAAACTTTGCATTGAGTCTTTGTATGGAGACCTCCATCAATGGGACTCTCACTGTCTCTCAAGGCAGCTGAAAAATGGTAGGTGAGATTTTTTTTCTGTTAAACTGAAATCTACCTCCTTGTGACTTCTACCCTTTGGACAGTGGTTGGGGTTGGGAGGAGGAGGGAAGAGAATAGTACAGAGGCAAGCAGAACCATTCTGATCCCTTTTCTGCTTTACAACCCTTCAGTTATTTGAGGACAACTGTCCTGCCCTTCCTAAGCCTTCTTCTCCAGGCTAAACCTTCCCAATTGATCCAACTGATTCTTATATGGTCAGATTTGGAGTCCCTTATTCAACGTCCTCTGGAGAATATCTAGCTTGCCAATGTGGCATTTAAAACTGAATCCACCCCCTATTAATATATACTGACTGGACCAGGTTACAGTATGACTACTTCTGCCTTTGTTTTGGCCACTATGTTTATTATTATTATTATTATTATTATTACCACCTAAAAACTGCATGAACAAATAAAGTAGATGAGCCTCTGTCTATTTTGGCTACTCAAAAATGTCTTTTTTTTTCCTTCTAAGTTCTCGATTTTGTTCTGAATTACTGAGGTTGCTGGAGAAGTGAACAGTAGACGAGGGAAATGTTAGCTACTGTCATCAGACTGACTCTGAAAATGATAAACTTCCTGCAACATTGGTCATTTTCCTTGGCAAGGCAGTTTCAGAAAACCTCACCCTACTCTGTGGCTGATTATTTTTCTAACAACTACCTGGATATCTTCATGGAAAACAAGAAAGCCCCTCTCTTGAATAATAGGCATAGTTCAGATCCTACTCTCATTTTTATAATGATTTCATAACACAATGACAGATAAAGAAATTTCCTTTTATTGTACTAAATGCTGGTTTTACATAAAATAGACCATAATTCAGAATCTGTAATGTCTATCGAAAGGTTATACTCGTTACCATCCAAATAGGATGAGCTAATAAAAATTATATTTGTTACAATCCAAATAGATTAACCGGCCTTAAGGGCTTAGCTGTGTATTACACTTTTCAATTTTCTTATAATTAAATTAACATAAAATAGTCTTCACAAATAAATGACTGTATCAGAAACAGTTAAGCTCTGTTTAACAAAAATAGCCACTCTATTTATATGTGGAGGAACGCAGGTGGACTCGGGACAGGAAACAAGGACCTCCTCTGCAGAGTGGGATGGAAATGGCAAGCCTGGTGGGATCACGTGGGCTCAGTATCCTTCATCTCTCTTACCTTGGCTTCAGCCGCATTGCTAACTAGCCGCCAGCTACAAACCACAGATGTTTCTTGCCTATTCTCCCTGAATTGCAGAGGTCACTTCAGTATATCTGCCTCCTCTTCAATGGGTGCTCTTGGCCATCAGTCAGACTATAGACTCTGGTGGTGTGCTTTTGGTCCCAGTACTATGACATCCTAATAGCTTTAACAGCTCCTCAACAAAGGTTATACTGATGTTTCCTTAGCTATAGCCCTTTCAGAATATTTTCTTCCCCTTCAGCAGCATTACTTCTGCCTGTTGGCTTTCCAGCACTCATGATTTTTGTTTTTTGTTTTGTTTTTTTCCCCTCCTTTTCCCAGTTACAATTACTATAAGGATTTTGAAATCATGCTGTTCAGAGCCACCACGATTCTCCAACCCACAAGCACTCACAAGCCTGAACTCTGTCTCATGATCTTAGTCTCCCTGCTGAGAACCTCTTTGGATAAAAGATCAGAGACTCCCAAGTCTTCTATGTGTGTGGGGTCATGATCCCCACAAAGCAGTCTGACAAATTTGATTTTTCCCCTTTGTCTTGTGCTTCCTATCGCTTATGGAGTGTTTAAAAGGCAAAGTGGTGGGATGCTGTGGGCTTGTTATTGTTTTTAAACATTAAAATTCAGTTTCTTCAACTGTGAAAAATGGCAAGGTAAGTGTGGATCCCCATACCCGAAGGGAAGAGAATCACTGAGGAAGGCAGGAAGCAGAGAATACATTTTGGGAAAGCACTGAGTCACAGCATTCCAGGAAACCTCAGGAATGAAATGAAACTGTCACTCAAAGATTAAAATAGGCAAAATTCATATTAAACTTGGTTTTACAAGGACCTTAAGCCCGGTCATAGAGGTCTCTCCCTGCCTCTCTCCTCCCTCCCACTATCCCCAATTTAAAAGGAACACTAGTGGAGCACCTCAAAAACCATCCTAAGGAGGTTTCATCCCTTGAGCTGCATCTCTAATCTGACTGCATCAATCACTGGGTGTAATTCAATAGTGCTATGTAATATAAAAATATAATGATACAAATATTATTACCATTCCTCCCACTGGCACAGCGCCTTGCGTTTTATGGTTGTTATTGTGGCTGTCTCAATAAAAAAAAAAATGACTAAACAAGCAGAATATCTTGATCATTCCAGAATGGATTATTCAGGTTCTTTATTTCTCTTTTCAGTCCCTACTGACCACATTTTGGCCATCACACTGCTCATTAGTACCTCTAACACCAGGTGAAGAGGGTAAGTAGAGATGAAATGCAAATGGGTCCATTTTGCCACTTATAAGCAATTCTTCCTAAAGGTTTACTGAAACAGGGGCCCCAAAGCAATGACTGAACTATTTGTAGCAGAAAAAAGAAAGGCAAAATGGAAACAAAATAGGTACCTATCAATTGGCAAACAGCTGAATAAATGATGATATAGGAATCTATTGGAATGTGAACTTGCCATAAAAAATGATGAATATAGAAAGATGTGTATGAAATGATGTACAGTAAAAAAAAAAGGCAGAAGCTAAATAACAATATATAAATTAGCTGTTGCAATGTAGTTAAAGTCTCCTTGTTCTTTGAACAAGTTGTTAGGTCATTTCACTTGTGCCCAACCCTTTGTAACCCCATTTTAGGGATATCTTGGCAAAAATACTGAAGTGGTTTGCCCTTTCCTTCTCCAGCTCATTTTGCGGGTGAGAAAGCTGAGGCAAACAGAGTTAAGTGACTTTCACACAGTCCCACAATTAATAAGTATCTGAGATTGGATTTGAACTCAGGTCCTCCTGACTGCAGGGCAGGAGTTCTATCCACTGAAGCATCTAGCTTCTCCCTCTTCAAACACGATGCATTTCCCAACTCCGTGTGTTTCCCTTGGCTTTCCTCTATGTTTGGAATTCTCTCCCTGCTTCCTGGCTTCCCTGACTTCCCCCAGGTCCCAGCCAAAATCCCACATCTTGTAAGAAACCTTTTCTAATTCCACTTAATGCTAGTGCCTTCCCTCTAAAGATAGATCCAGTTTATCTCATCAATATCACAGCTTTGGTAGCAGCTAGGTGGCACAGTGGACACAGCACCAGCCCTGGAGTCAGGAGGACCTGAGTTCAAATCCAGCCTCAGACATATAACACTCACTAACTGTGTGACTCTGGGCAAGTCACTTAACCCTAATTGCCTCACTAAAGCAAAACAAAAAGTAGCATAGCTTTGGTGTCATTTTCCCCTGGGAGCTGGGAGCTCTTTGAGAGCCAGTACTAGTTCATTTTTCTTTTATTTGTATGTCTAAGGCTTAGCACATTGCCTGGAACATGATAGGCACTCAGTGAATACTTGTTGACTTGACAACTGTAACAGTAAGAAATTCAAATTACACATTCAGTAAACAATGTCAGAAAGGATAAGGAAAACAAAGACAATGTGGGTCCTGTTTTAAAGTCTATGTATATATGTGTGTATATATATATATATGTATGTATGTGTGTATATACATGTATATGTATGATTATATACATGTATATATCCATATATATGTGTTCCCTTCTAGTAGTTAGTCAAGGGACCACTAAGGCAGAATTCTATATATGTGAACAGATGTAGTCACTGTTTTCGAATGCTTTTGATTAATTGTTTTTCTGTTTAAAAAAGGTTTAATCAGAAATATATTTCCCAGAACTGGCTGTGATGGAAAAACAAAAGGCATCAATAAAATATATCTTAAAAAATAAAATAAAGCCATTATATGCAACTTTGTGATAGGGGTTATCAAATGAAAACATCATTTATACTATTTTATTTTTAATTTGTTGGTTACTACTTACCTGATCATTTTTCTCATAGTCTTTTCTTATGCTTTTGCTCATGTATTTGAATGGCCACATTTGTCAATGGAAATAAAAATAAAAAGTAGAAAGAATGAAAGATAGATATGTGAATATACGTTTAAAGAAATAAAAGAAATAAATAATCTACAGAATTCATTTATTCATGCTTTAAATGTTTCCCATTGCCGTGGGTGGTTCAGAATTGGCTATATATCCAAAGAAATTTAAATTCTTCATTCAAAATGTCCCCAAAATAGTTAAATAGTTTGGTGAGGCTAGGGATAGGACCTGTTATTTCATTGGTACTGGAAACTTTCAGGCGAGGAAACTCCTTGTGCCATGGAAGGTTGACACCTCTTCCATGACTTATCTTCTTAATGGATGGCCTAAAATACTGAGAGGTTATGTGATTTGCCCAGATACCTTGAGCAGTATCGTCAGAGGTAGGACTTAAACCCAAGTCTTCCTGGCTCAAGGACAGTCCACTTCTCTATGGATTGGTAAACTATACTGTAATTTGTATCTTGTAGATGGAGAAATTAAATATCTCAGGCATTTTATTGTCACTTTTTCTCTTTCATTATAGCGTATATTTGAAAGATACTACCTGGAAGGCCTCGGAAGAAGGCATCAGAGTGGAGACTGAAAGTTGCTAAAAGTGTGCTTGCCCTAGAACAGAGTGATTGGTGCTAATCAATGAGCAGAGGTGCCATGAATGGAAAAAAAAAATCCAATGACCTAAGAAAGCTGCCACTGAGAATGAAAAAAAAAAAAAGATTGTAGTTAACTGGGGGGAAAATTTGCAGCAAGTTTCTCCAATAAATGTTTCATTTCCAAAATATATAAGGAACTGATTCCATTACCTTGTGTCTTGGAACCCTGGTCACCAGAACCATAGCAGTGACACCTTGGGAGTAATTCTATGAGCTTTTCTATAAGTACAGATTCTAGCTGCCGCTCAGCTAGCAACCATCTATCCCTAAAACCTTGATGTTTTCTCTGCTTTTTTGTCACTTACTGATGTGGTCCTTTCAACACATGTGGGAGCTGACTAAAATCCCTGGTTTAGAGTGTATCAGCTCATCCAAATGGTCAAAAGTTAGATGTTGGATGCTTCCTACTACACTTTTCGTCTTCACAATTTTTTTTAAAATTAGAACTTGTTTTTAACTGATGCTGTAATTCTAAGCTTCACCATTGTCTCAGCCAGCCTATGATTTCAGTTTCAAGGTACGCTTTTTTCCAGCCCCAAAAGGTGATCAATAGATATGTATACAAGTATATGCTTACAACTCTACTGTGTACATTTCTACTGCTTCATACACCTACTAAATATGAGCAAATAGACTGAAACAAAGAGAAATGATGGAATAGACCAGGAGTGGTGAACCTGCATCCTTAAGGCCACATGTAGCCTTCTAAGCCCTTGCATTTGGTTTTCTGACCGGGTCCAAATTTTACAGAACAAATCCCTTTATTACGGAGATTTGTTCTATGAAGTTTGGACCTAGAGGGCCACATGTGGCCTTGAGGCTGCAGGTTCCCCACTCCTGGAATAGACCAATTAAAATCACACTGAAAATGTGTTCTCAGTGTGTATATCAATAACTATAGTCAGCCCATGCATCCACAAGTCTGTGACTGGCTTGTTATTGGTTGTCAAGCCTGAACAAAATTCACCTGTGCAAGCCTATGATCCATGCAATACTGATATTTAATAAGTCTTAAATTTTAGATCTGAAAGAAACCTGAAGGATACAAGCTAGACTAAAAGAATAATCAGTCATCTGGCTTAACAATGGACAAAAGAACACCAGTGAAGCTATCATATCATAAGTCAATCAACAAGCATTTCTTGTTTGCCATGCACCAGGGACTTGTTAAGCCCTGGAGGCACAAGGACAAAAATTAAATAGTCCCTGCCCCACAAAAGCATATATTCTAATGTAGAAGATATGTATGCACATAAGTACATGCCGAATATATACAAAAAGAATACAAGGTAGATTTGGGAGGGGTTGCCCTGGCCATTGGGAGGGCCACTGACAGAAAGGCTTCAGGTAGAAACAGGTGCTTGAAGATGAGTCTTGGAAAAGTTTGGCATTTTCTCCCTTGCCATTTCAAATGAACATTCTTGTCAGTTCTTTGTTCCATTATACTTTCTCATCTTAAGAATATTGTCCCTATCTTTCTTTGAAAGAGGGAATCTATTTTCTTTATTAGTTTCCTATTCCAATCCAGATGTTGCTTTTTTTGTGGTATTAGAGCCTATATACTAAAAACAAAAAATTCACCAAGCCTCTCAGGATAATTGTTGTAGCTTCATCTGTTCATTGAAAAACATTAATGATGATTATGGAGAAAATTATTTATTATACTGTTGGGGGAATTATACTATTTGAATCCAATTAAAGGTTATCCACACCCAGAATGTTGCTTAACTCTACTAACTCTTTAGGATTGCCAGAGATGGCTACATGGTGTTTCTGATTCCCCCAGACCCTAGATCCACCCAAAGCATGCATGTTTTGGCTTACCACTCCCAGGAACTCCTGTTTTGGGTTACTTACTTAAACCTATTACAATATATCTTGCTTTTAGGCTGCCCTCTTGACAAAATTGCTTAGCTGGGTACATGGGGTATATAATGTGAGAATTCCTGTGTGTGAGAATTCTTTGTCAAAATTCCAAATCTTCCAGAATCTGGGGAAAGAGACATTCCCTTTCCAGCTCTCTCTCTTGTCTTTACCAAATGACCTAACAAATTTCTTTCTAAAAACATTAAAGATTTGGGGGGTCTGTTCTCATGAATAATAGGACCTAATGCTACTATGAATTCAATCATTTTTTTTAATGAATGTATACTTTATTACATTATAACAACATGTATGTCCATTTGAAGAATAGTCATGACTATATGAGGCAGCTAGGTAGTAAAGTGGATAGAGTGTCAGGCCTGAAGTTAGGAAGACTCATCTTCCAGAGTTCAAATCCAGCCCCAGACTTTTACTAGCTGTGTGATCCTGGGCAAGTTACTTAATACTATTTGCCTCAGTTCATCATCTGTAAAATGAGCAAGAGAAGGAAATGACAAACCAGTATTTTTGCCAAGAAAACCCCAAATGGGGTTACAAAGAGCCAGATATGACTGAAATGATGGAACAACAACAAAAATACATATACAACTGTATGCATGTGAGTTTTCAGACCACTTGCAGAACTCCACATCTCCCAGGGATCCACAGAACCACCATTTCTGACCAGCTCCTCATTTGTAAAGTAGGGCTAGTGAGACTCAATAACATGAAGTGACTTGTGCAGAGTCACCTGACAAGTTAATGAAGAAGCTGATATCTTCACTCATGTTTTACATCCATTCTCTTAGACCACACTGACAACTTTTATATAAGATTTCCCTTGTAAAATCAAGTAGCAAGAAAGATCTCAAAGCTAGGATAACCCTAGAAATCTGAAGAATTGTAAGAGAATTAAAATATTTCTAGTGTACTTCATTTGTTAGTAATTTAATAGATTTTTTTATGTTGGTTTTGTCATTTTACTTGGCAATAAAATAATTTTCCTCAGATCACCATTTCTGCTCCTTATTTCTTTTCTCTTTGTTATGAACACACATATATTCTTACTAAGTTGATAAAAATCGAGGCTATTCAAAGTAGATGGATAATCAATCATATTGTTTAAATATGGACCAAGAAAAACCAATGAAGCTACCATGTTTATGTCCATCCCCTTTCTTTCTTGGGTAGAAAAATTCTATATTTCCTTCGTTGTCATTTCAATTGTTTGTTTATGTCAATTCTTTGCTTCATTGGACTTGCTAAGCCTACATAGATGTTTTCCTTCTTTTTTGTATGTGTGTCCCTTTTCCCTCCTCTTTTCAGTCCTCCCTGATGAAACTTAAAATAGCTTTTTATTGTACCTCTGATATTTTGTGTTCAGTGATTTTGGAGAAGAAGCAAAATTTTAGAGGAAATGAAGAAGTACTCCTCCTTCCTTGCCCTTTGTGGCTGACTCAGCCCATGCCACTCAAGGCTATAATAATAATTTTCAATGGTCCAATAGAGTTGGTTCCAATAAGAACTCTGATGTTAGAAACCACCGAACCTAAGCAGTAATAACAAGGATTTTCCAGAAAATGTAATTTTTACCTTAAGTTCAATCTTTGTCATGATGCTAGTGTCCTGATCACTGCCTTGGAAAAGAACCTTTAGAATAGAAAGTCTCATCCTAGAAATCTAGAAACTTAGCCATCATTCAGAGGTTCTCTCCAGGACTTGCAACATCTCTGGCTAAAAACAAACAAACAAACAAACAAACAAACAAATAAATAAATAAATAAATAAATGAATGAATGAATAAATAAGAGTACAAGAGAATGTGAAAAAAGTCTTAACCAGAACATACAATATGAGGACACAATATACATCTCATGGTAGTCCATTATACCTCTTGCCACTCGTTTCATTCTTTGGCATTTCTTGGAAGAACCCCAGTATTATCTAACTTTAATCACATATCATCATGTCTTCAATATTTCAACATTTCCAAAGAAAGTTATTATTTTATCAGTGTGAGTGCTCCCATCTTAATGAAGATTGTACTGTTTCTTGTGCCTTAGTAGATAGTCATTGTCCAATACAGTTTTTAAAATATTTATTAAGCACATACTATTTGAAAAGTACTTTATTAGGCATTTGTGATACAAAGACAAAAATTAAGCAGTCTCTACATTTGAGGAGGTAACATTCTACTAAGGGTATATATAATGCACAAAATTTAGTAGGTAGAAATTTGAGAAGAGAGAGAAATTACACCAAAGCTATGCCTTGAAAAAGGCAATTCTGAGAGGCAGAGGTGAGGAGGGAGTGGATTCCAAACATAACAGATGGCTTATGCAAATGTGAGGAAGTTAGAAAAAGAATGCTCCAGAAAGTTTGGGAAAGTTAACTAGTACTCTAATACACTGGAACACAGAGGACATGAGAAGAATGAAATACAATAAAGCTGGAACTATACATTGGAACAAAAATTTTAAGGGCCTTAATTGCAATTTAGTTTTGCAGGTTGCAGTCCAGGTGAGATTTAAAGAACAAAAAATCCATGTTGGAGACTGATACGGAGTGGAGACATGGGTGTTGGGAGCTGAGAATGATAATGGACTGGGAAACCAAGGGTGTCTGATGGGGCACCAATATGAATAATGAAGTCTAACAACTAGGTAATGTAGTGGATAGAGAATTGGAGGATCTGAGTTCAATGCCTGTCTCAAATACTCACTAGCTGTGTGACCTTAGACAGGACACTTAACTTCTGTGTACCTCAGTTTCCTCATCCATAAAGTGAGAATAATAGCCCCTACATCCCAGGGTTGTCCTGAGGATTAGATGAGATAACATATGTAAAGCATTTTGCATTTAGCACCATATAAATTGTAGTAGTAATAGTGGTAGTAGCAGCACTATGGCAGTAGTCATAGTAGTAGTAGTAGCAGCAGCAGCAGCAGCAACAGCAGGATATTAGTAATAGTGGTAATAGTAGAAGTATAGTAGTAATAATAGTAGCAACAGCAACTGTATAGTGGTAGTAGTAATAGTAGTAGTCACCGTAATAATAGTGGTAGTAGTAGCAGTATAGTAGTAGTAGCAACAGCAGCAGTATTGTAGTAGCAGTCAAAGTAGTTGTGGTAGTGGTCATAGTAGTCATAGTCTTA